AAATATTTTTCATGCATGAGACATTTTTATATCTTGATTAATGCAATTTCATAATTTTTGTTTCTTAAATAAAATTTTTTTCATGCATGAGACATTTTTATTTCTTAATGAAAGCAATTTAAACACTCATAATGTTGCATAAATGCACCATTTTGTTTCTTGAATAAAATATTTTTTATGAACGAGGCATTTTTATATCTTGATGAATGTAATTTAAACATTCATAATGTTGCACAAATGCACCATTTTGTTTCTTAAATAAAATATTTTTCATGAACGAGACATTTTTATATCTTAATGAATGCAATTTAAACATTCATAATGTTGCATAAATCCACCATTTTGTTTCTTAAATAAAATATTTTTCATGAACTAGACATTTTTATATCTTAATGAATGCAATTTAAACACTCATAATGTTGCCTAAATGCACCATTTTGTTTCCTAAATAAAATATTTTTCATACACGAGACATTTTTATATCTCAATTTAAAAATTCTTCCATGAAATATTCTTACCACATCTTATAAAATTTCAAAAAAATGCAAAATCATAAAAAGAACAAATTCATGCTAAAAAAAATATAAAAAAATAAAAATACAGCTAATTTTTTTTACTGTAAAAATTACAGGAATAGAAAAGACATTGAACGAATGACTAGCCTTGAATACCTGAAAATTCTTCAGGATTGTAGCGGCACTTCACCGCTATATCATTTATAAAAAAAAAGGTTATAGCTTTTCAAGATCACTAGGCTCAACCATTGAAGCGTAAAAATCGGTTACATCACTCATTCTACCCCTCTCAATCTGCCCTTGGTTGCTGAAACGTGCTCAGTGTCGTCAGATAACCCCCTTTTTTATTAATGTGCCCTTCTAACTATTTGTTCGATTTGATAGAAAAGAAATCGGAACGAAGTTGTTTTTTGAAGTCTTTTTCTACATGCTTGGGGTACTTCTGCTGCTATTCGAACAATCATTGAAGCAATATATAGAAGAAGAGTATATTAATACGTAATCAGAATGTTGAAACAATGCAGATGGAAATCACAAAATTATTCATACCCCCTACTTTTAGTATTTAAATGTTTTATTCATTTTTACATTGTAAGTGACCTTTTTATTTTATTTAATTACTTATTTAAACTAGCGATTATTGAAGCAATATATAGAGAAGAGATTATTGATATGCAATTCATATATTGAAAATGTTTAAAAAAAATGCTGATGGAATTCTCAAAATTAAATAAAAAAATTCCCCTATCAATAGGAAATACTATTTTAAGAGTAGCAGAGTAGTATTTTATTTAACTAATAATTTAAATGAAAGATTTTTGAAACAAAATATTGAGACGATATTATTAATAAATAACTTATTGTAAAATGTTAAAAGAATGCTGATGGAATTCAAAAAAAATCATTCATTCCCTTTCATAGATTTTAAATATGTATCCAACTGTTTCAGATTTTTTACTCGTTATGAGATGTGTTAACAATATTCGCAAATTTAATTTGTTCTGCTTTTAAAGTTTTGTTATTAAAAAGTAAGAGCTATATTGATCATTACAATAACTATAATTATTGGGTTGTTCGGAAAGTAATTTCGTTTTTTTTTTTGGGGGGGGGGGATGAAAGACAATTTTCGCATAATGAATAAGTATTTTATTAAATTATTTATTGGCCATCCCGGTCCAACACCTTTTGCCATTTTTCTGGTAGTAGCATGATTCCACACTCATAAAATTTTTGGTCTTTGGCAAAAAACTGATCCAGGTGATTTTTGACCTCTTCATTTCAAGTAAAGGTTTTACAGTCCAAAAACTTTTGTATAGTGACCGGAACAAATAATAATCCGAAGGCGCCAGATGTGGAGAATATGGTGGGTGTGGCAGTGTATCCCATTCAAGCTGTAAAATATTTCAGCGAGTGACCGAACTTGAATGAGGTCTCGCATTATATTGGTGGAACACTATATCTTTTCTGTTGAAGAGCATTATTTAGTTTGTCCAGCTGACGACAGTAGACTTCCGAATTAAGTGTTGTGTTATCCGGTAAAAGCTAAAAAAAAAAAGACAGAAAAAAACTATTCCTTTAAAATCCCACCAAACAGACGCTATCATTTTTTTTGATGGATATTGGCTTTCGAAATGCTTTGAGCCGGTTAATGTTTTTTGCTTCATGATCTCTTGCGTTTGACATTGTTATAGAAAACCCATTTTTCGTCCCCAGTAATGATGCTCTTCAAAACTTGACCATTTTCGTGACATTTGAGAAGCGAATCATAGAAGTCAACGCGACGACACAAGTTTCTCTCCGTGAGAACATGGGGAACTCATACATCGAGCTTCGAGGTTAAACCCAGGCCTTTCAAGTGGCCAGCATAAACAGTTGAATTCGATAGATTTAACCTCTTACCGATCTCACGTGTTTGTTATTCGCCGATTTGCATCAACTAATGCCTTTATCACGTCTTTATCAGCTTCAGCGGACCTTCCAGAACGTGGTGCATCTTCGACATCAAAATTGCTGGATCGAAATTTTGCAAACCAATACTGGCACTGGCGTTCAACACGTCTTATTCATACACAATTTCTTTCTGGTATGAACAGTATTTTTACCTTTTCTATAGTAAAAAAGTAAAATATGACGAAAATGCAGCTTATTGCTCTCCATATTTAAAAGAACACCAACCAAAAACTACTGCGTAGAATTAATTGAACTTTTCCACTCACAAGCCTTGCTATATCAGCTCTCAAAACATATAATGATAATGCGGCTTAAGTGGGTTCGAAAAAATACAATTAAATCCTCTGTCGGAAAAACGAAATTACTTTCCGAACAACCCGATATTATAGATTATCAACGAGTTATAATGCTGAAAATAAATGTAATTAATCATTATTAATCGTGGTAAATAACAATCCTAATCCTTTTTGTGATAAAGGTTTATATCAATTATAATCTTTAGTTATATTTTCATTGTTATAATTTGAAACTTCGACGCAATTTGTTTCTTAAACAATGGGAATCAATATTTTATCTGCATATCTATATTTACAATAATCCTTATTGAGATTAAAAATGTAATGCACATTAAATAACTATTTTTAATAACGATTTACATAAATTTGTACATTAATGTACTACGTTAAATAGCAATAGTGATCTGTATGTAATAATTTTTAACTCCCATTACATTAGTGCCCATTTAATTTTTTACCCATTTATTTGTTTTTAATTTTCTTACATAAATGCTTAACATGTTTACATATTTCTTTATGTTTTGGGTATTTTTAATATTACATTTATATGACTTGACAGTTTACATTCAACACATTTTTTAAATGATCTCTTCATCTCCACATTCGCAAAACATTGCTCGAATCATATCTTTATGTTCTCTAAATTACACAAAATTGAATCTTAAAATTGTTTTAAAATAACATCGTCAACAAACACTAAGATTTTTTTTATAGAATATTCAGTATTTTTACTATTTCCACACGTGAAAGTATTATTGAATATTTTTACAATTGAATTTCAAAAAAAAACATTTTTGAATGTAAATGCAAAACATGAAACATATTTTACATTGATTGTCTTATGTTTGATACAATGTAATATATTTTTAAAACATGAGTGAACTTTCTTTAGCATACAGTTCACAGACCTTTTAGAGTTGTTTGTAGATAAGTTTTCGTACGTTCACAAAATCTACAATATTAGAATCGATATTTGGTAAATTTGACTGCTTACCTAGAGCATTTTCATGCAGGTCGTGCGGTAATCACCTTCTTTAAAAGTGTTAAAATCTTTGTCGTGAACATTGATATAAATGTATTCACATTAGGTTTCACAAATTAATATTTAAGCTAGAAAAACACAAAAACGATATCGATAAATATTGAAACACGGAGGAAGATTGGAATAAAAACATTAAAACCTGTTCAAATTACCGGGAGAAACCGAAGTTGAAAGGTAATTATTAAAAACACTTTAAAGTTTCATCTGGCAATAAAACAGGTTTACATCTTTTTAGTCCTGAATTCCACAGTTCTGAAATCGTTAGACATAGGATGACGTCATAAATCTCAGAAAGGAAATTTGTGTCGTCATCGCGTATTTGATTACGCAATCTAAAGCCAGATTGATCATAAAATGCTAAAATTCCAATATTTGAAAATTTCTTTTCCTTCCTTTTTTGCAATATTACTGATTTTATAACCGTCGTTGTACAGCCGACCCAATTTTGGGTTTGCGACGACTAATGTACAACTGCGTAACCTTGCAATTTGAAATCCAATCCAAAAGACAAGGGAACTTCAGGATCAAGTATTGGGAGTAATTTGTCTTCGAGGAGGACTTTTTGATGGAACTAGCCCGCACTTGTTTGACGTAGAAAGGAAAACCACGAAAACCTACATTTAGCCTGACAACGGTCCTCTAACCCATGATCCGTCTACCACTAGAGATATTTTAATATAATAAGGACATGTTTAATATTATTAATAAGGATATATTAGTAAAAAGGATATTCTTCGTCAGCACTATGGTCGGTGGGAGCCGGGTGCGGAATTCGTATCAAGCAGCCATCACTGGGATTCGAACCCGGTTCACCTGATTAATATTACTGATTGCAAACGAAAACAAAATATCGAGATGTTAACATTTTTTGTTTCTCTTGCTTAAATATTGTTTTGGAAACCCAAATTTATGCACTTTTTTATTTCAACTCTAACAAGGATTCAAAAAAAGGTCATTGATAGCCACTCCGTATTGCACATTAAAATATCTTTTTAAGATAATGATAAAATTACATTTTAATTCCTTAAGAAAATAATATAACGAACAAAGAAGTATTTTAAGTTAGTAACTAATATAAAAGAGTAAAAATTGGAAGATATCTACTATTAAAATTTCAGAGTGCTATTTCAGACATAGAAATAAATTGATCAGAATTTTTATTCTTAGTTAGGAAGGAAAATATTTAGTAGTACATACCTGTAGCATTTATCCGGTAGGTTCATCGAAAGCATAAATGATCTTCAATAAATTATACTCATGTGTTTCAGAATATTTTGTCAAAGTTATATTTCACAAATCTATTCAACTTATTTTTATCTTCTCCTTTCTTCTCACATTGCACAAGTTCAAGGAATTCTGTGAATCACATTTTTATCTGCAAAAAATAATGTCTGTTGAAGTAATAAAACATCAAACATTTAAAAAAATTCAAGCATTTTATTTCATTCTATAACAATCGTTGAACAGCCGTCCCATTTTACTACTATTGTTCAACTCTGTAGCCTTGTAATTTTAAACCCAATCCAGGAAACAAGGGAACTCCTGGATCAAGTATTGATAGAAATTTGCCTTCTTGGAGGACTTTTGGATGGAACTAACCCGCATTTGCGTTACACGGAGAGGAAGACCACGAGAGCCTCCCGCGGTTGGCCTGACAGCAAGGGAGTTCTAACCCATGATCCGTTTACCACAGAGGATATTTTACGTCAGTACTGTGGTCGGTGCAAGCTAGATGCGGAATTCGTATCGATCAGTCATCGCTGGGATTCGAACCTAGTTCACCTCATTGGAAGGCGAACGCTCAATCCCCTAAGCCATCACGGCTCAGTTCAAGCATTATTTAAAACGTTTTTATTACATTAAAACAAAGTTAAGAAACTACATTATTTCTTAAGAATACTTGAAGGTTCCATATTTCACTCCCAATCGGAAGGAAAAAACGAGTATTTACGAGGATTTGTGATATTTTCGAGTTTTTAGCAGTAATTAAAAAAGGAGTATATTACACGTTTTTAATAAATAATTATTTTTTATTCGTTAACTCTAATAAACTCAAAGATCAACGAGAACATGGTAGAATGTGTTGGATAAACACTATTAACGTGAACGGGCTAGATACGCGGAAATTAGAGTTTCTAAAGTAATACAAAACCACGTGTTTATTTTGTTTATAGTTATGCTTTAAAAACACGGAGAAACATAAAAGAAAGTTTTCACTCTCGTTCTATAGCAGTCTTTCCCAAACTTATGGCTTTTATGTAGCCTTTCTAAATTTTTCTTAACGCTATGTACCACTAATAAATAAAACTAGTGGGCTGCGCCCCCTGCTCGCTGACGCTCACCAACCCCCGAAAATTGCTATGCAATCTTATATGGTTTGCTTCGCAAACAAAGCTCGCTTCGCTCGCTACTAACTTAGGTACATTACAAATGCACAAAATTCTAAGAATTCAAATCCATATAACAACTTTTTTTTTTAAAAAAAAATTACATCTTTTTAGTAAATACTAAGTCATTAAAATAAATTCGTGATATAAATCAAAAATCGTCAAATAAATTCGTAATATATAAATTCGCGAAAAAAAACACTTTCGACAAAATACTAAAATAGAGATCTATCGACAAAGACCACTCACTTCTGCCTAGCTTAATAGTATGAGATTGCCTCTCTCTGGTTATTTCAGTTTCCGTTTCTAAAAGTGCTATGTGTTGAGCCACTGCAGCTAGATTTGGCATGTGACATTTTTAACGGCAATCATTGGTCGATTTTCTAACGTTGCCATTCGGGGAAATGTAATGAGGCTTTTTTTGTCGCCGTGTAAGAGAAATATATATATAGATGAAGGCATTTTACAATGAAAATATTGCACAAAAATTAAAAATCACAGCTGGCCGTTGACACCACTAATTATTAACTGTTAAATCTGCAAAAAATAGGCAATAGAAAAATATGTAATCGTAAATTTTCATGGCTAGCTTTGTTTTTAAATAAAAGTTTTTGAAATTTTCGTTTGTTGCAATATATTTCGCATAAGAAAGCGTATCCCCGCTAAACTGTTCCCGTACCACACTTTGGGAAACACTGTTCTAGAGTGTTCACTTTTCATTTATTTATAGAAAGTGGATGCGTTTTTTTACCTACCACTGCATGCCAAATTGCAACACACTGGCCATAATGTTTTTCACCCCTTTTCACGGTAAAAAGCTTAACTACAAGTTAGATAGATCAGTTAGCGTTTACTTTTATTATTTTTCATTGGGTACCTGCAAATGACGTTATCGTAGATAAATCGTCGCATTTGTCGGTTCTGAAGATAATCCAGAGAAAATCGCTTGATAGTGTTAGATGTTGAATATTTTTACCGCTTTTCTCACTAAACTTTTGAGTCCATATTTTTATGTTGCACCTTACCCCTCTCTATATTTAGATTTCTACAATTAAAACCCTGTTTCCAAGCTAAGCAATTTGAAAATTTAAAATATAAGAATTGAAAAAAAAAATTGAAGCAGCAAAAATTTGAGAACTTATTGACTTTGTGCTTTTTTCTGATCTGTAGAATAAAAAATATTTTGGCACAGACATTTTAATTTTAATATGAAAAAATTTCAATTTGAAATTTTTAATTTTTCAGGGGAAAAAATAGTTTTATTTCACTTTACTTTTAGATAGAAATGTGTTTACCAAATTTAAAGATGGTATTCCTATCGAATCAAAAGTAAAAACTATTTTCCATTAATTAAACAGTGACAAATCCTGCAGTAAAAACACATAATGCGCTATTTAAAGAAAAATTTTGATGAAAAAATGGTATATTCATTTTACTACGTGATTTATGTCAATGTTTAACGAGAAAATATTTTTTGTTTTATGGTCTCATTGAAATACCTTCTTTAGATTTGGCACAGGTATTACTGACACGTAGTTAAATATATCAGTTTCCAAAAAATTACACAAATTTCGATTTAGAAATAAAAGAGTTAAATTTCATTTTTTTAAAATTATTACTACTTATATTAATTGAGCCACGATACCTATTTCACAAGATGACAATAAATGAACAAAAGCGAAAATTAAAATACAAAACAAAGTGGCATTAATTTAGTTCCCTAAATCAATTAGTTATCAAACCATACAGCTATTTAAAAACAGGAAAAAAAATTAATGTTAAAATTTTTAAGATAAAAAAAAAACCCATAAAAACCAAGTATGTTTAAAAATAATACAAAAAATTTTTTTCCTACATGAATGCTGAGCAACAAATTAATATTATGATCCTTGAGAAACATATAGTGGATTAAAGAAATCATATAACATAAGGAATATAATTGGATTTATAGTAAATAAAATTAGTTTATTAGATTTAAGAGCAGAAATCACGAACAAAATTTTTATCTTGATCATTTTCAGTGTTACAGGGTTCCTCAGCCGATCGCTTATAGTTGTGACTCTAGATCATTTTTAATTTATGGTTGATACACTGTATCCAATCAATACCTCCTAGAAAAGAGAAGGCCTCAGCACGGGTTGCCATAAACAAGGAGTTTGATTCTTTAGTAGTCCAAACGTAATGACACCTTTCATAAATTACCACCACTGCGCAGCTTAGTAGTCCGAACGTAGTCACATCTTTCTTACTTTTTTCATCCACTGGGCACTTTATGTTCGTTTCGTCGAACTACTATATTGATCCGTGCGGAGGCCTTCTCTCGTCTTAGGGGTGTTGATCCAATCCCCCATGAGTTTCTATTTTAATTACTGTGGAATATAGAGAATCTTGGTAATGTCCGACTGAAAAAGTGGCAATTTTATCCGTCAGCACCATTCAACAGAAAAGTAATTCTTAGCATATTGGCAAAGCAAAAGTTGTAACTTTTCTAATCAAATTTTTAAAAATGCTGGTGTTTACAAACTCTGTTTTTCATTCATCTTCAAATAGCATCATGTCTCTTTGCCGCTAGTTTCATGTGGTTTCTGAGAAACGGCAAGAATAGTCAAAAATGTGGAGCTTCGGTTTTTTTCCCCCTTATTCCAATGTTATAATATTTGATTTTTTTAAAAACTTAAGGCTGCAGTGGACTCCTAAAATCGTGAAAATCACTCGAAAAATCGATTTTCTAATTTTGACCACTTTATATTAGTTAAATGATATAAGAAAGCATATTAATTATTAAAATCATAAGAATTTGTAAGACATTTGACAATATAAGAATTATTTTTCTTTTTTATTTCAAAAACTTGTTATTGTGAGAGTTTTGTGTAGTGTTTCTCAAAACAAAAATTTTGCATCGAACTGGAAATTGAAATAGTTCCGTGCGCTATAATTTTAATGACTATAAACTTTTTTGACACGTTCTCTAGATCAATAAAGAAAACTTGTAGAGAAAAAGTTTCGAAATAAGGTGCTATAACATATTTTATAGTCATTTCAATGTTCCAAAACGTTCATAGAGGGATGAATTTAATTTTTTCTTTTTTTTTTCTTTTTGTCGAAACTTGCTTTTATTGAAGTTATACTTCTTCCAACAAGGTTGCGTTAAACGTTTAACGCTACATTTTTATTGGCCGGGAAATCACGTGGTAGGATCCAGTTTTCCCTCATTCATTTCCATATTGTTTTGGTTCTCACTAGCATAAAAATAATAAAAGTAATAAAAGTATTGTTTTTCTATAAATATTTTTTTAGTTTGTTTTGATACACATATAATTTAATAGGGTAGTATTTTTTATTTTCAAATTTAGTGGATAACAATTGTAAAAAATGAGTGAAAACAATCCCACGGACAATGCGACGGATTTAAGGTTATGTCAAGGTACGTCTCTTGTGAATATCAATTGATTGTTAGGTTTTCTCTTCTGAAATTACATTATGACGCATTCACATACATTATTAATACAAATACATTTTCCAGGGCGAGACGATGAGGCAACCAAAAGCACTTCCACTGGTTCAAGTGGTCCACGAGGAAAAAATGCACAATATTACCGTGATTACAGAGCACGGAAGCGAGCGGAGCAGGAAAAAAAGTCGTTGAATAGAACTAGTGATCCTTCTACGACTGCTGATTCTTCTACAATTAACGTCGCAGGTTGTGAAATTTAAAAATAGTGCGCGGAGGGACTCCACGCACTATTTTTTTTTTTTCTTGCTTTGCGAAACTTGCTGTATGAAAATTAGTAGAAAAATGTGTAAATATTTTGAAGAGAAATTTAAATAGAGTTGAAATTAACAAATAATCTTTAAATTTAAGGAAAAATTTAGCACAAGGAGCTTATTTGAACTTCAAAATAAATCGACAACTTTCTTGAAAAAATTTAAATTTTTCATTTTATAGCATGAATTGTGCATCAAATTATTTTTTTTTGTGTTCTCTCTC